ATTCCACTCTATAAAGGAAGTGAAAGTGCTCCTCCCTTCGGTCTGATTTACGAGAGAGAAAGAAAGAGAGAAGGTTGTAATGTTGCTACGCTACTTGGAGCGTCATGGTGAGGAAACGGGACAACAAAACCTGATGTTATGAAGACTTTCCAGTATAACAATACACTACTCTCCATCAGTCAGTCACACAGATGAGCCCTTGTAAGGGGAAATAACAAACACTGCTTCCCCAGAGAAAGATACCAAGAGCTCTCCCTGCACATGTTCTCACGATGGCATTAATCACTTAGGCCAGAAACAAGGTTTAATTTTGCCTGAAATATATAATGCATATATAAAGTTAATGGGAAGAACTACCTTGAAAGAGCGAAGGTACGCGGAGGAATCCCAATAGGCTAAGAAACCCAAGCATTTGAAGTTCACAGCTCTTCTGGGAGACAAGAGCTTTCCTATGGTGTCAGCTCTCAAAAGAAAAAGATACCCTTGCTTCTTAAAACAAACAAGCAAACAAAAAACTAAACAGTCAACGAAGCCTCGAAGAAGAGTTATGCCTAAAACCAGGGCAAAGATCAGGAAATTTGCTTGCACATATTTCATATGGTCAAATGCTAAAAGAAAAACATGCTAGCATTTATTACTTAAACCTGATCAACTTTCTTATCACTGCCTAAAACAATTTAGTAAAGCTTTTTTCAACAATAACGATTGACTCAGCACAAGATTTGACCATTTCTCTCTATAATCTGCTTCAAATTATAAATCCAATGTAACAGCATTCTAAAGCACAAAATAATATAACAAATCTTAAAAGAAAATAGGATTCACAAAAATGACAGGTTAATTTAAAATATATAATTTTCTACTTAAAAATATTTTCTGGAAGTAAATTTGGAAAACTGATGTTTTGGTATCTCATTAGCATAATACAGAGCAGTCTGTTTTTTTGAAAAAAACCTATCATTCTTCTTAGAAGCAGAGACACTTCAATACAACTTGTTTTCCATGTCATTAAAGAAGATTATTGTAATTCAAGAAGTTTCTCATATTTTTTCCTAAAATGATAATACCCTCTCTAGGAGATGGAAGGAACACACAAATGCCTCTGCTTTTAAAGAATCTAAATGCGTTTTGTTTTCTCTTTTTTTGGTCTACCTCAAAACTTCTGGAAGCAAAGGTTTTTCAAGATTGCTAGTCATTACAAATAGATTCTAAGTATTTCTGAGGTCACTGAAGACAGGTGTCAACTCTTAATGGAAGCAGCACGTCTTTTGTGAACAACACACAACTACAGCCTCAAGTTAATTTCCCTGCCAACTCTCATAAGGAACACAACTTTACAAGGGTCAACATGCGCCGCTGGCTGGGAAGGCCTGATGAGGGCTGGTTACCTAAGGAGCTGCAGAACTGTCCTGGTCCTCACCCTAGTGAAAAGTAGAACCTTTATTTACTCAGTTTAATACAGGGGGCAGAGGGACGAGGCCAAAGCCCATGCTAAGTTTGTAGAAGATCTAGAAATAGGCTCGAAGATTAAGTTCTGGGCAGAAAATGTGGAGATCTATCTGCTTTAAAAAGCCTTTCACAAACGCTGTGTCAGGTAGAACCTGCATGCAGAGGAGGCGAACAGGCTACTCTCAAGTACGAAAAGAAGGCAATAATGTGACACTACTAATTTCTGACACTGAAACAAGGTCCTAGATTGCAGACAGTTATCGTTCTCATATCATTATTTGATTAATCTGACATACACACTCCTCCCTTCCCTTTGGAAGGAATAATTTCAAAGAACTTAGAGGCTAGGAAGAGAGTACAATTTTTATGGAAAGAAGATTGAAATATAGGAGAGTGCAAAAAATAGAACATTAGTCAGAAAAAAGTGTGCAATCAACTTCTTTGCAGATCTCTTTAATCTCATCTACTTTGGGAAAAAGTCAGACTGGAGGAAAGAGCACTTTTGCTTGCTGAAAAAGATGGAACATGATATAGTTACAGGCAAGACGAATCAAATCATCTTTAACAGAAGCAGAGAACTCTGGAAAGAAAGCTGTAAGATGGTAGACTCTGGCTATTTCTAAGTAATCACTGTATAAAACTAAAATGTATATTTATATTTCCAAATAGTTGAGAGGTCTCAGACATATAACAGCTTTGTTTAATGTAACTTTCCACATTATCATACATTTTAAATTTTGTGTTTTTAAAAATAGTGACCAAAGAGACAATGTTTTCTAAGCTGATCAAAGAAGGTAACAACTGTGACACACATTACTGCAAGCACGAATTGCCCAATGTTGATATAGCATACCAAAGGCACTGAGACCTGCAAAGTCTTTTCATTCTTTGTGTAATATGGCTTATCGTCACACAGAGTATGCTAGATACTCAAAATCTGTTACGTAATTTGAACTGCATTTCATGTTTCATTTAAGTCACATAGTTATTAGGGATGGCATTTTTCCAGTTAATCCAAAATGCAGGTGTGATCTGAAATGTAGTAACAGGCTGCCCTCTAGTGTCCTCCTTATTAAAAAACTTTGAAATTAGAAAATTCTGCTTTCAAATGTGACTCAAATTAATTTAAACGGAAAAGTTACAAAAAAATAAAAAGCAATCATCTACACATGCTAAAAACCTTAAAAGAATACTAGAATGGGGAAGCATCACTTACAATAATAAAGTAACTTGAGTACAGGATGTAAGATTTCCCAGTTCCCTGAAACCCTTGCTCCAGTATTTAGAACAAATAATGCTGAAAGACTTTTAATGCTGCCTAGGCACCCTGCCTCCCCGAGTGACAAGGGGCACACAGACATGAACTTGCACACGGGCTGTTCCGTACTCAATGCCTGAGCAAAAGGATGGGTCTCCAAGTAAGAACCCACACCATCAAAGAGGCCCTTGGGAACACTGGCCAACCAGTGCCACTCGGCGTGCATGCTTGCCACACCCAAGGAAGGAACCCTCCAGAAAGAAGACAGCTTTTGGGGTGTAAACCCCTTCATGTTTTATCCCCTCAAGCGAACAGCCATATAGGACAAGATGCACACCCCTATATGATACCAGTTATTTTAGGTCAGGTAGTTTCACCTGACTTTATCTAAACTCCTACTAATGTATCCTCTAGGTAGTCACCCATGAGGATTTATACATTTAATAAGGTTTTACTAGATTTTGTCTTGGTCTTCCAGAAAGGTAAAAGAAAGTCATGATTTTATCAAGCATCCAATAGTAATAGAAATAGAAATAGAAAACAGCATAATGAGGTGATGTTTTGTTAGTATTAAAGCACCATGCTACAAACGTCTTTTAAGAGATGTACCAATAAGAACAAGGCCTTGTCAGAAATTCTCCCCAAGGTATAAAGAATATACACTTGAACTATAAAGTTAAATTCCTGAAAAGATTTTCCCATCTGGTGAACTTCTAATTATTAAAACATATAATATTAACTGATTGTTATTCTGGGAAGTAATGAAGGTTACAGAATGTAAAGAATCATATATAACAAGTTGAATACTTATAATTGTTTTATTTCATGCAACTTTGCAAAAACTAATTTTTATTCATTTCATAATAAAATCATCACCATTAAATCATTCCTATTTACACTGGAAAGATTTCTTCCTTAGCAAAACGGATTAAGACTTGGTTTTTTGTTTGTTTGTGTTTTTTTCCAGTACTGGGAATCCAACTCACAACCTTGAGCTTGCCAGGCAGGTGCTGTGCTGCAGAGCTAAATCCCCAGCCCCAAGACTTGTTTTTAAAGGGACTGTATGTATGTGTTACTAAATATTAAGTATATGTTCATTTTCTACTTTACAATACATCATTCTGTGATTTTCATCTTTTAAAAAACATGTAATTCTGTGCATGGATCAATAATTCTGTAACTCAATTTCCAGGGTGAAATTTTTTTATTATTTATATATTTTATAGCCCACAGAACAGTCATTATTATTAAATGAAGTTTCACAAATTATTGTCCATTTTATCATTTTAAAACTTTTTCAGAACAAAATATATTTAGAAAATACACTTTATTTTAGGAAATATATGTCTGTAGAAAATAATGCATGTTAGAAATGTGACTGAGACAACTACGCTAAAAACTAAACAGTAACGTTATAAGGAGTAACTACACAGGGTGGAGGCAGAATGTTGACAAAATTATAAAAAGAAAGAAAATTAAAGTATCCAGACTGCCTCCCAACTGTAAGGCTAATAAAGCACGAAGCTTTACAAAGGCTTAACATTCTCATGCTACTGCTCTGGTAGACAAGGAAAAGAAACTGATACTTGTTTTGAATGCCATACTGCAAACTGGGAACTATGCTGGGGTATTCGCTTTACATCTCCCAGTCTCTGTGGTAAAGACACTGAGCTCCCAATAGCCTCTTCTTGTGAGGAAATAGGCGTGCAGAAGTCAGGTGGTTGCCGTAATTCAGCAGCACATCAGCGCTGGGCTGAGCTGTCCGATCCTTCCCCCCGCGACAGTGGCCTTTGAGAGCTTCCCACTGTCACAAGTCAGGGGCATCTCACCTGTAAGACTGTACCTAAGGCTCCACAAATCACAGACACAGTGATTTTCAAATGACCTGGAAGGGTACTGCTCCTTAGAAGGGTGTGATGCCTCCCATCTCCCCAGCACAGAACCTGGGACTCTTTCACAGAAGATGCTTAGAGGCCCAGGGACTGTGAGAAAATAAAGTCAGGCAAGTCAGGAGTGTGGTTAATGGCTCTCAGTGCTGGGCCCTTACACAGTCTGCCACATAAATGTTGTTTCACCGGCCGAGCCACTACAGCAAAGTTTTAGTTCAAATTCATTCTGGAAAAACAGGTGCATATAAAATGTGTAGTATTATATAATATCCATTGAAAAATAAACAATCAATTTATGCATTAAGGGCCAATGTATGAAACTATGAAATATTCTAAAAATTTTGCTAATAGTAAAAAAAATGAATAACTTAGACACTTGAAATAGTTAATGATTTTCAACTTACCTTAAGCCATAACAAGGCAGGGTGAGGAGCCGGAACAGTGCCAGAAAAACTCTTAAAGGAAGCAGAGTGAATACATACAGAAATGCATCCAGACACAGGAAGATTCCAAAAAACATCAGCTGTATTTTAAAAAGACAGAAAAAAAAAAGGTAAAACATTCTTTAAATAAGTATAGATAAAAATTTCAAATAGTTAAGGACTTTCTAAACTTTATGAGGAATTTCTTATAACTTAGCCCAGGGAACAAAACTAATAGTTCTACTTGTGTATAAAAACCGTATTTAAATGACAGTCCTTCTTCAAAGTACAAATAAGACTCTGCCAGCACCTCTGGTTTACCACCTACAGAAATCAATCACTCAAAAGACATGTCCTTGGCCACAGCTATGAACATCTGATACAGCTTTCTGGGTATCTCTTTGAAGTTCAAAGACATTACAGAAAACTTTGAGATGAAAGTCTTTAACCTTATTCTTAATAATTTTGTTATCTTCTGTTTACTAGAATGCTTCAGTGATAGAAAAGACTGGAATATATATCGAGTCAAAATATTGTTTATGTTAAACATATATACACTGATTACTATTACACAATTTCACATACCCTGAAAATCCCTGTATTTGGAAGGCCTTATTTTTATCAACTCTATGACTAGATGTCATTTTTTTTTTTTGTAATCATCTCCGTCCTTGTCATATCCTTTTTTTTTGCTTTTTTGAGACAGTGTCACTATTGCAGTTCAGGCAGGCCTTGAACTCACCGCACTCCACGGTAGTGTGTGATGCACATGCCCTCATCATAACGCTCTAGTGTAGACACTACGAACAGTGAAAGTACAGCGTTAGCCTGTAACTCCCGTGCCACTGGCTACAGTTTTAAGATCTTCCCTCCATGACAGTTACTTGGTTATCCTGCTTCTGTTGTCAGCACAGTCCCAGTTTTGCACGTCTGTTCTTGACTTACACACAAGGGGAAGTTGCAGAAGACCAAGTAGTGGTCCTTGTTTCTCTCCTGTCACTGAGAAGCCGCTCCCTGCCTGGAGGACACTATTGGCAGAGGACAGAGGGAAGAAGTGCTAGAACCCAATGCTCCCCAAAGACCCTCTGGAGTGAAAACACAAGGACACAGGGCGCTGGGAAGGAGAGTATCTGGTTATCTTCTTTACAGGCTTATGCTGAGGTGAATATAATATTCATTCAGCCAATGTCTACTAAGTTGTAAGTTGTTAACGTGAGCCGAGTAACACGTGCAGCCCAGGAAGCCCACGCCCAGGTCAGCACGAGAGAGAAGCCCACTCAGGGCCAGCGACATGGTGCTAACCGTTGCCACCTGACTGTGCAAGGAACCAGGAAGTCCGATGACTGAAATGTTTTGAAAAGCTCCACAAGCAAGAAGACCTAGACAACATCTGAGATGGAAAGTGCCACACTGGCGGTGCACAAGGCAGAGGAGACGGGCGGGGAGTGGGCTGGAAGCGAGGGAGAAGCCTCACAAGGGCACACGGACCAGGCATCGAGGTGCGAAGTCATTGCGAGAGACTGAAACCTACTCTTCACTTATTAAGAGCAGAGTCATTTCTCTTTGGCTTAGAGGCATTCGTATTAGCACTGTTTATGGTCCACAATGCAACACAAGCCTGGTGGGTCTTCTTTTCCTATGTAAAAATGTTCCCGTAAACTCAGGGAAAGGCAATAATCTTCTCACACTGTGCTGTGGCAGGGAGCAGTGGCTGCCATCTAAGGACATTTCAACTCGGGGAAGTTACTCATGTGAGTGAGACTACATGATAAAAAGAGAAAAGCCTTCCATGACTTGGAAAAGTGGAAATGTGACTCAACTACTGTACCTGTGTTGGCGGTACACTTTTTCATAAAATATTACATTCTTTGAAATTCCTTACAGGAAAAGGAGAACATTTCCTACAAAAGTAAGCAAGATGTAATTCTGAAAGCTTCCATCTGGAAGGAGGTAAAGGTTGAGTTACATGGTGGCCCACGAACAGGGGCTGTGCAAAGAATCTCTCCCCTGTTTCCAATGTTCTGGGCACTGGACGTGCTCACTACTTTATCATCCTTGCGGGGTTCTGACGTTTTCTCACCCCTGCTCGACACAGTAGGAAACCGCACCTCTGAAGGCTGAGTGCTGGCCCAACCTGTGCACTGGAGGAGAGGAACCAGCCGGCCTGCTCTCTTTAAAGCAGCCAAGTAGCTCCTATAGTGTTACAAGGCATAGGGACGGGTTAAAGCAGGTTTCTTTGCGCTACCTGGTCTTGTCCATTTGCTTAATGTTGGAAGAAATTCAGAAATAACAGGAATTTAATGAATCAAATTACATATTTAGATTTGCTGTTACCTTTAAAATTATGTTAAGAATTCAAAACTTTCAGAATATATTATATATATATATATTATTTACAAGAAAGTGTGTGATGGCCTGGCATGGTAGCATACTCCCATAATCCTAGCCCTCTAGACGCAAGAAGACTGCAAGTTCAAGCCCAGCCTGGGCAATTCTGCAACTCAGCAAGACCTTGTATCACAAAAAAGTGGGTGATATAACTCAGTGCCGAAATCCTGGGTTCCACCCCTAGGACCCCCCCCCCCCCCGCAAAAGGGTACTTTCACATCTTTAATTAATTTGCTGGCATTCTGATAAACATGTAATTACTATTTCTGTTTCACTTGGACAAAACAACCATAAAATATTCAGGCATTCTTAATAGCTAATGAAAACTCCCCCTCTAATACACACAGTATGACTATAAACTATTAAAAATGGTGCCATATGCCACTACTTCCCTTTTGAGAAACAAAAAAATTTCCTGCTCTTTCAAAATATCATTTTAAATTTCAAAATAAATGCTATATCATGACTAAAATAAAAACACATGATTTTGGAGGATACATCTCCCGGCAGGTGTCACCTCACGGTGAGGATCAGTCCTGTCAGCTCACAGGCACGCCTGTGTATCACACCCTTGCACGCCCTCTTCCCATCTCCACACTCCTCCCTCCTCTGGCCCGGCCTCTGCAGTCTCACCTGGCTTTACTGCCTTGGAGAAGGCAGCATCTGCCCTCACCTGCCTCTCACCTTCACAGGGAACACTTCTCTATGTTCTCTCTTTAAATTAGTTGCACATGAAACAAAAATCAGAAAACCAAAATACGGCAATAAAAAAAAATTATGCTGGTCTCACTAGATTCATGATCCACTAAAGGGTGGTAACTCAACAGTCTGAGTATCAGGTTCCCGAACAGCTGGGCAAGTTGTGATTTAGTTCCCTCCATAGGGACCACTGCCTGTAGTAGCACTTATGCAATGCATGTGTGTGCAAGTGCGCGTGCGTGCACACACACACACACACACACACACACACACACACACGCATCGACTCATCTCATGACCAGTATTTCCAGAGTATAGCAGTTAGTACTTCCTACATTGGTACTTACCACAAGGCTTTGTGTCCAGCTAATGAGATGATGAATTCCATGGGGAAGGTGTCTTTCCAGATGACCTTTTATCCCCCAGAGTAGGAATTGAGCAAGATAGTCAAAGCCCTTACAGGAGTAGACCTAGAGCTTTATAAAAATTGAAACTAGGGCAGCAGAGGGGAATGGGGACTCCCTATGTAGTTAAGGCTGCCTTGAACTCACTGTGTAACCTAGACTTTCCTTGAACTTGCAGCTATCCTCCTGCCTCAGACTCCCACCTCATTAACCCTCTGCAAAGCTCCCCATAACCCGTCTAGGAAAGTCTAGGTTACACAGTGCATTGCAGAGGAGTGCGGGCAGAGCATGAACATGAGGAGCAGACAGTAGCAAGAATCAGGAAAGGTCTCTCACTGAGGACAGAAGATGGGTGCTTGATTTTACCAGGCCCAACAGGAGGTTCAGAATCTCAAGCAGAGAAGAGCATGCATAGCACAAGGTAAGGACCTGCTGTGGGGCTAGGAGGTAATAATTATATAAAAGGGATAAAAGTGATCCTCAGTTAATTGCTAAGGAGCTCAAATTTTTGACCAGTGCTCCAGAAGTTCTCAACAAACCCACAGGTAGGGATCCATTAGTAGGAGACTATTAAAGGAGTGAGCTATCAATAAGAAAGTTTATAACTGACTTTGAAAGCAGTTATTGCAGATTAAAGGATAGCTCTTTAATAAAGTCATTTTTCTTCATCTAAATTAAAAATATTCACAAGTCCAGGAAGTCTACACTCTAGGAGACGGCCAACGAAGGGAGTGCCAGTAAACCAGGTTCTTTTCTGATCTGCAAGGTTACACAAACGTCTGTAACTACGGAAAACAAAGTAATCTTGATAAATGGCTCATCATAATCAAAACTTCCATTGGCACACATGTAACACAGACATATTTCATAAGCATTACATAAGCCAACTGGAGATTTTAATTTGTAGGAAGACTATGCACATAGAGCAGTCTTGGGATTTTCTTGCTTCTCTTATTTCCAGTCCATGCTGGCTACTGTTATATTCTAAACACCTGACCTATATTAGCTTACTTAGTGCTCCAACAGCCCCAGAGGCAGGAACTATGACTTAGCATCGTTTTGCACAGGAAGAAGACAGGGCTGCAAATCACCCCTAGGAGACTGGGGTGAGGCAGGAGGGTGGGTATGTCCTCAGACCCTCGCTGCAACAGGCTGGGAATGAGGTCTTCACAGCTACTATGGGTAAAGGGAAGCCCTGCAGACTACCAAGGTACATGTCCTAGGCTCAGCTCTACTTTTCAGGGAGTGTGATCAGCAGCGTTAAACTGCAGGCTGACATTCATCAGAGGGGACAGTTAAGAAGGAAAACACCTGTTTGAGTAAGGGATCACAATAGCCTATTTATGGTAATGCCAATACACAGGAAGAGACAGATTGAAGACTGAAAGTTAACATGACAGAAAGAGGTTACCAGCAAACACAGCCCCACAGTGTCATGTTCACAAATTGTCTTTAAAGTACATCAGTGAATGAGACAGGGACCACAAAGTTTTCTTCGGTGCTTGTCCCATACGCTCCACAAGCAGCAGGGCTCCACCATGCAGTGGAAGTTGGGATGCCTGAGCTGCTCCTCCATCATGACCAAGCACCACTCTGAAGGTGGCTGCTGG